CATAATTTTACTGTGCTGTTTTCGTCCATTAGGGCTTTATTAATTAATAAAAATGATTGTAAAACATCTTAAAACTATAATATACCTAGGAATGTTAAATGATGTAATAAATTTTAACAAGTGTGTAGATATATATGAAGAAGGCTCTGAGAGGCTTTTAAGGCAATTTTGACAGTTTTTAAATCAGTTAAACCATTGAAATACCTCTGGATCCTGCCTGCGACTTACTGTTAGGAAGGGAAGTGGAGACAGCTGTCAGGGAGCTACAGATGAACTCCAGATTGGTGCCTAAGGAAAGTGCTCAAGCCAGCCTTCCTCTCCTTGTCGACGAAGATTCCAGAAACGTACGGCCGGCCTTGTGTCCTCTCGAGCTGAAGCACATCTGTGTCTACTCCATGTTGCACAGTGTGAAATCAAAATTTGGATTTATAGTGCTTTACACCAAAGGGTCTTTAAAGATAACTAGAGCCAGATCTCCAGCGTTTATCTCAGGAGAGCAAGAGCAGAGAAACGTCCTCCAAATTAATCTTGGCCTTGGCACAGAAAGGTGTTTGAATGTCGGTTTGTGAAGGGACTACTCTTACAACTGATTTTCTCAGATGAATATGTAATTTTGTTTCCCAGGGGCTGACATCCCTCAGACTAACGGTACATCCCAGAGCTTCGCATGGGCACTCCTGAGTGGCTCTCCATCATGTGGCCGCCTCTGCCACGTGAGGAGGGATACTCAGAGAGGCCAGGGAATCAACACCTTTTTGTGGAGTCACGGACTCTTATTTTCTACCTCAGTGACCTTGGACAAGCCACACAGACTCTGAACTGCTTTCCTCATCTGGATAGCAAGACAAGGGAGTGGGATTGGGTGTTCTTGAAGGTCCCTTCAAAGTTGAAAGAATTTCTGGTCTAGTTGCCTGAGGTAGAATTGTGGGAGGAGATTCCATGAGACCATGAGTCCCTCAGTCACAAAGTCCAAAGCCATAGTACCTTGGACACATTTTGGGCACAGGCCTCAGATGCATCTGAGTGTGTCTAAGTATCCCCCATCCACATACACACTGTCTTTCTCACACATGCACACATACAGCCCTCACACTCATACACACCATATACACACTCCTCACACATATACCCTCCTTACACACATACACCACACACACTCCTCACACACATTCACACATACACCCTCCTCATGCACATACCACAGACACACCACATACTCACATCCACACAGACACCCTCACACTCCTTACACACTCACATTTGTACACACACCCCCTCAGGCATACTCCTGCACACACACCCTCACACATCCCCCTCTTCCACACTCCTACTTGCTCACTCTCTCACTCAAAAGCTACATTGCCGTGGAATGTATTTCTTCCCAGACAACAACAAAGCATCATGTCCATGGTGTAGAACTCTTGCATGGCATTTATAAGCACAGGTCATCACTGACTTTAACTACACAGTCTGCCCTTGAAGGTGCTACAGAACACTTCAAGGGCAAGCTTGCTGCCCTTCTGACAAAGCTTCTCAGCCTTCATGCACGTGTCCTCAGATGGTGGTACTGCTCGTTATGACTCAGGACTGTCGGAAAA